GCCTGTGGGAAGGCCATGTGCACAGCCCCCTCCTCCGCCCGGGCTCTGGTTACGGAGCTATGATGATGGGGGCTGAAGCGAAGTCACCGGGGGGCCCAACACACCACATGTCTGCTTCTCTCCCTGCAGAAACCCTGGCAGGGAAGGCAGGAGTGAACAGGGCCGCACCCCACAGCGCTCCCCACCCACCCCACTGCCATAGACTCACATCGTCGCTACAAGACAGAGTAGAACTGCTCTTCACTGGAGCAGACAGCCTGGCCTCTTCCCCTTAAAGTAGTCCCCAGTCCAAAAAGACTCTGAGAGCTCTTCAGATGGGTTTGGTCTGAAGAACTCTGGAAACTTCCCTCCAGCTGCATTCCTTCACCTGGAACATCCTTCTTCCCTAGGGTACTCTTCATTGGCCTTTCAAAGGGCGGCCCTGAGGCATCTTCTCACAGACAATGTTCTCAGAGGGTCCCCTGACCCCAGGCCAAAGTGGGTCCCCCTCTCCGGATTCCTACAACCCACACAGCTGCCAATCACCCTGACTGTCACATGTCTGTCTCCCTGTCTGTCTCGTTTACCACTGTGCCCCAAGCACAAGACCTGCTGCATGCTGGGACTTGATCAGGGTTTGTTGATACAGCAAGAGCCTGAGTTTGCGACCTAGGTGGGAACTGTCATGTCTGGCTGTCGGTGGCTCATAAACACCTGTTTCTAAGGGTCTGAGGAATCCTGGTGAAGTACTACAGGATAAGCATTGGGCCACAAGATCAGTTTGAACCACAAAGTTGGTGGTTCAAACTCACCAGCTGCTCCTCAGAAACCCTATACCGGGTCGCTATGAGTTGGAACTGACTTGACGGCACTTAACAGCAACAACAAGGGTCTGAGGAGTATCAGGTCCAGTGGGGCCAGCAGGATGGTCTGCAAGGGTCTCTGACTCTCCTCTGGCTACAACACACTGCCTGGTTCAACACATGGCACCTTCTCCCACTTCACTCGCTCATTCTGCACCCCACCCTGCCTGGGTAGGGCTCATTTTCTCAGTTCCTCAGCAAGGATGAGGGTTAGAACCACTCTCCCCATCAGAGCACCCCCGGCCTCCACCTTTCCCCAGGGCCCCATAATCTCCTCTGCCTGACTCCCAGGACAGAGTGCTCAGAGAGGTTACAGCTTTCTTCCTCCCTGGTCCCCTTCAAGGGTGAGGTGTACAGCTCTCTGTCTTAGGAAAAGTCCGCCATCCTTGTTGGTGCCCAGGCTCTGGGCCCTCCCCTCCCACTCTCCCCCCAGGCCCTGAGCCAAGTCCATCATGCATTCCAGCAGCTGAATGAGGACAGAGCCTCATCTGTCTGTCTGTCCTGGAGCTAGGGTGGTGGGCGGCACCCTGGGATGTGGCCGCTGGGAAGCTGGCACAAAGGAACAAGCCCCGAGGGTGCTGTGGGAGCAGCTACTGTTCTAATTTTCCAGCACCCCCTCTAGGGGAGGAAACACACCCTTGGGAGAGGAACATTTTTCAGCCCTCCTCTCCATCCTCCGGGTCACTTCCCTGGTTCAGGTCCATATGATATACCAGGTGGCAGCAGGAGAAATGAATAGTTATATAGATTGAGTGCTGACCATGCGGTAGGCACAGTGCTACATACTTCACATGGTTTCTCATTCAATCCTCATAGCAAACTCATGAGGCAGCCCCAACATTATTGTTTCTCAAGGCCTAAGGGTAGAAGCCTGGGTCAGAGCCCAGGTTCTTAACCTCCAAACAAAATTCTCTCTGCTTCCAATCCCACCCCCACCCCAGAAATCCCTCTTCTAGAGGCCAGAACCCTTCCTCTTATAGCAACATAGATCTGGCCACATCCCTGCTTAAACCCCACGGTGAGTAGATAGCTAGAAAACCAGGGCACAGGGAGCAGAAAGATTCCTCTCGGTTCCCTCCCTAAATCCCACTATGAGGACAATAAAGGAACACATAGGGCATAAATCCACAGGACAAAGGCCAAGGGAAAGGTGATGATGGCAGATGAAAGATGTCAACAAAATTCAAGAAGCTGGAGAGCAGATGGTGACTGAGTTGGTTGAGTGGAGAAGGCTAAGAGCCAAGTGCCTGAGGAAGAAATGGACCAGAAGCACAAGAGTGGAAAGGCTCAGGAATCTGGGTGACAGACGACCTGGGTATCAGTAGAGCTGGGGACCAGAGTGTTGCTGAAAGTTTGTGTAAGAATTCACCAGAACCTAAGTTCCCTCCATAGCTCTGCAGGGCCAGGGTGACACCAGTTCTCTGCCTGACAGAGGACGGGGGTCACTGCCTGAAGAAGGAAGACCAGGAGGATTTGACCTTGAGACACCAGACACAGTGGAGGCTCGGAGGTGGAGGGGCCCACAGAGAGATGGGGGTCAAAGGAAAGTCTACAAATGAGTCTGCCAAGCTTCTCCCCCATTTGGATGCAGAATGCTATAGCTAGGCTTACCCTCTTCCAGGGAGAATCGTCTGCAGGAAAGAAGACCAGAAAAAAGACCTTCGATACTGATATTTAAAGCTCTCCCAAAGAAACAGCCTGTCCGACCCAGTGCCTCAACGTGACTCAGAGAACACCTGCCCAAGTCCACAGACACAGTGTATGAAATGCAGACATTTTTAAAAACATTTAGCATAAAAGAAAGAAATGAAAAACAACAAAAATTAGATTAAACTAAAAACCTCAAAGGCAAAGACAGCTATCACAGGAAGCAGAAGAAAAAAATAAAATCCCTGAAAGATAAGAGACTGTACCTATGAAATAAAACAAAACAAAATAAATGAGAGTACTCAGAGAACAAGAAAAGCAAAACAATTTTAAGTTGCAATAGAAAAAACAAAATCAAAAGCATTTTAACTTAATAGAAAGGTTGTAAAGTTGCCTCCCAGAAAACAAAAGATTGGGGGGCAAAAAAAAAAAGTATTAAAAATTTTTAAATAAGAAAATGATTCTAGAAAGAGAAGAGAGAAAGGTAAATGACCGGATAATACAAGGGCCCTCCTGAACTTGAGGGACATGAGTTTCTAGATTAAAAAGGTCTACCAAGTGCCCAAGATAATAAATAAAAACAGACCAAGGCACATAATTATAAAATTTTAAGGCGAGAGAGACTTTCAAAAGTTTCCAGAGTTTTGAAAAATTCACACATAAAGGCTTGGGCATCACAATGGTATGAGACTGCTTAACAGCAATGCTGGAAGCTAGAAGACAATAGAAAAATGTCTTAAAAACTGCAGGCGAGTGACATCCAGAAGTCAGCGTCAAATCAAAATGGAAAAATAAAAACACTTTCAGATGTGTAAACGTTTTACCTCCAAACACTCTTCCTCAGAAAGCTACTTCAGGATGGGCTCCCCCAAAACATGGGAGTACCCCATCCCATCGAAGGAAACTAAAGAAAAAAATAAAGGCAGTATGGGCTCCAGAAGAAAAACAGCCCTACACACCAATTTCAGTGTGAGTCTAGAAAGCATCCAGTTGAGACTGGGGTAGGAGCTCTGGTAGCATAGTGCTTTACAAATCAGACTGCTAATCTCACGGTCAGCAGTTCGAAACTACCAACTGTTCCGCAGGAGAAAGACGAGGCTTTCTGCTCCCGTAAAGATTTACAGCCTCGGAAATCCTGTACAGGGTCACTATGAGTTGGAACCAACTCCATGGCACATAACAACAAGCCAAGAGTAGTAGAGTCTTGGTAGAATGTGTGCATAACAGCAAGTGAAAGAAAACCGTCTGAACTAGTTTTATCCAGCTTTCCACTGCCAGAGTCAGGACAAGCCATGAAACATGACATGTGTCATTTTGGTGATTCTGTATATGAGTTAAATGCTCTTGTATTCACAATGAAAAGTGTACAAGATAAAGATGAATGGGAAAATGTATGCTAACAAGCTACATTTTTTTCTTTTTCTTTACCTTAGACAACATTCAGGATCCTTGGTGGTACCGTAGAGTAAGCATTGGACTGCTAACCACAAGGTCGGGCAGTTCAAACCCACCAGCCGTATGAGGAAGAAAGACAAGTCTTTCTGCTCCTGTAAAGATTTATAGGCTCAGAAACTCTATACAAGGTTGCTGTGAGTTGGAATTGACTTGGTAGTGAGTTTGAGTTTTGAGGACGTTAAGTAACAGATTTTTTTAAAAACAAAAATACCATGACAAATAAAAAGAATGCAGAAGAAAGGAAAATGCTGTGTATTTTAGTACATTTACTGGTACTTTCCCCCTGCTTTGCACTGTTCTTAGGCATCACTGAGTTGATTTCAACTCACAGAGACTCCATGTGACAGAGCAGAATTGCCCAATAGGGTTTCTAGGGTAGAACCCACCAGCTGCTCCTTGGAAACCCTCTACAGTGTCGCAATGAATCTGCAGGAACTCGAGGACACAACAGAAGCAGATCACCAGGTCTTTCTCCATTGGAGCTGTTGGGTGGGTTAGAACCACCAACCCAAGTACTTATCCATTGTGCCACCAGGCCTCCTTTGCTTTTCATTGGACTCCACAAATTAAGTCCCTAACTCTGCACCTGGGTTCATAGAACCTCACTCATTGGTCCTCCTTCCTGTCTCCAAACCTGCATTCATGGTACCTCTACCAGGAACGCCACTCTTTCCACCCCACACCAACTGAAGAAACACAACAAAACACTGTTTATTGTGAATTGGGTGACAATTTGCAGAGCAGAGCCATTTTCTGCTCACAGACATTTTCATCTCATTGATTTGCACTCCTCATAATGCAGCATCCTCACTTCCTCCCTGTACTTCCTGTTTCCATGCCTCCTTCCTCCCTAACTCTCCTGAACTTTGCCCTTTCTCTTCTGAAGATTTGGCAACCCTTGCTCAGGTTCCAAGATTTAGCTCAGATGTCCCTCCTGGGAGGACACTGGGACCCCAGCCCCCTATTTGTATTGGGTGCTCCTCCTCCCAGACACTGAATGTCACTATCTGATGTCATAGACAAGGACTGGGTCCCCGGGTTTGGGGAGGGACTTACTCGAGGAACCTGGTGATGTACTCTCGGCTGCAGCGGGACCAGGTGAGGGGCGCAGCGTCGTACAGGAGCTGTGGAGACATGATGAAAGGCCGTTTCCCAACAGGTTCACAGTCATTGCCGCTTCCGTCATGCTGAATGCCAAAACTGCGTGAGACACAGGCCCCAGGGGCGGGTGAGTGGGCGGGAGGCTGCCAGCCGGCCCCCACCCCAGATGGCTGCAGGGTCCTACTTCCCAGGGCTGGCCTTGCCACCAAATGACTGTGTTGTTGGTGTTGTTAAGTGCTGTTGAGTCGGTTCCGATTCATAGCGACTCTATATAGGGGTTCCAAGGAGTGGCTGGTGAGTTTGAACTGCCAACCTTGCGGTCCAGTGCCTATTCTACCATGCCACACCAGGATTCCAAATGACTGTGTAGCCTTGGCAAAGTCACATCCCCTTTCTGGGGTCAGGTTCCTTAATCTCAACTACCGGTGTCATCAGGGAATCCCTCAGGGTCCTCCTCCAAGAAGGACCTAGGGCCAGCAGTAATGGCGAGCCAAGGGTGGTGGCCCATCCCAGCCTGGCCACCTCACTGTAACGAGGAGCAGACTAGCAGGCCCTGCCATGTCCAGGGCTTTGTCCCAATACTGTGTGCCTGAGTTAGTGAAGGACGTCCCACCACATCACAGAAAGCTCTTAAGAGACCACCCTTAGGAAGGGCATGAGAAACACATCCCCTGAGCACCTGCTATGAGCCAAGCATTTAGCGAAGCACCTTCCACAACACTAACTTGCTCAGACTGCCCAAGGAGGCACTGTTATCCCCAGAGAGGCTCAGAGGGGCTCAGGAACTAGATGGGTAACACAGCCAGGAGATGGCAGGGTTGGGGCAGAGGGTGCCTGGGTACATGGCTGTAACCCAGGAAACCCAGTGTCTGGGTGGATGACCCTCGTCAGCCCACCAGACAGTGTAAGATGCTGCCCGATTCACCAGCTGGGGAAACCTGCCACCTCTCCAAACAGAGATGAAGGCACGAGCTGCGCTTACACATGATGAGCACCTTGGGCAGAAAGCACCAGAGAGACACGTTCTGAATCCAACCCCCTAAATTTATAAGACGCACCCAGAGGTTCAGAGATGGCAGGACAATTTCCCAAGGGCACACAGCAGTAGGAGTAGCTAGGGGGGGCCAAAGTTTACAAATGCAAGCAGAGAGGGGGAAAAGGAAGGGGTCACCAAATATGTATAGTGATTTCATGGTCTGTTCCAACCTCCCTTCAAATAAAGCCTACACCAGGTCAGCCTCAGGGGTGCCCAGGTGGTGCCTCGCTCAGGTTCAACAGGGAAGCAGTCCTGGTCATGGGGTAGCATATGGCCAGGTTGACCGGGGGCGCCCTCTCCCGGGGCAGCTTTCTTTCCCTAGCTTGGGAAGGTGAAGCTGGGTTCTTGAAGGGGTGAGTGGGGTACCTGTGCCCAAGCTCGTGGGCCACGGTGAAGGCCAGGGGCAGGCCTGTGTCCTCGCTGATGCTGCAGCTGCGGTGTGGTTGGCACATGCCCGACACGTGGGACAGACCCAGGGTCTCGCAGGGCCAGTTCATGGCCATACACAGGTCCTTCCTGTGCACACAGAGAGAAGTGGGTCTTCAGGCTCCCACGGCTCATCCCACCACCCTGGGCCACAGCATAGCAGCCCCCCTGGGAGCTGGTACCCTCACTCACACATGACCCTCAGGGGCCTCCTGGAGCCTGTCACACCTATGCACAGACAATTCTTGTCACTATCCCAGTGAGGAAGTCCTGGTGTGGCGCTGGGGGTTAATGTGCTGGATTGCAAAGTCTTTTTGACCACAAAGTTGGCGGTTCAAGTTCACCAACCGCTCCTTGCAAACTCTATACAGGGTCACTATGAGTTGGAACGGACTTCACGGACTTAAAAACAATAATTCAGTGAGGGTACTGATAGAAGAGGGAAGAGAGCTCCACCTGGAGTTTGCAAATACTAATTCTGTAAGGAGGAGCCCTAAGGAGCTCTGGTAGCATAGTGGTTACAAATCGGTCTACGAACCGCAAGGTCAGCAGTTCCAAACTACCAGCTGTTCTGTAGGAGAAAGATGAGGCTTTCTGCTCCCATAAAGTTTTACAGCCTCGGAAACCCTGTACAGGGTTGTTATGAGTCAGAACCGACTCCACGGAAAACAACAACAACAAGGAGGAGCTCTGGGGGCACACGGTTAAGCACCAGCTGCTAATCAGAAGGTCGGCAGTTTGAAGTCCCAGGCACTCTGCAGAAGAAAGACCTAGTGGATCTGCTACTATAAAAATATCAGCCTAGAAAATCCTATGGGGAAGTTCTTCTCTGTCACATAGGGATGCTGAGTCAAAATCACCCACTCCGTGGTACCCAATAACAACAAAAGTCCTGTAAGAGCCAGAGCAGGCTGCCCAAGCATTGTCGAGATCCAGCCTTGGACCAAAAGAGCCCAAGTTCTCCTCAAAACAGGGCTCCCTGAGAGTTGGGCTGCATCTCCCCCTGCTGAGGGTAAGGTGCACCTTCTTAAGATGGTGACTCTCCTGTCCGCCCCTGGTGCCCGGCGGTACCTGGTAAGAAGGATGGCAGTGTCATGGTGCAGGGGGTGGGTGTCTCCCTTCATGTTGATGCTCTTCTGCCACTTGCAGAAGCTCCTTAGGGTGTTGTCTGCGTGGTGTGTGACCTTCAGGTCCTTCTGGGGGCAGAGAGGGAGTCCTTAGGTGGGGTAAATGGCTCACGCACTGACTGGTAACCAAAAGATTGGAGGTTCAGGTTCACCCAGAGGCTCTTCAGCAGAAAGGCCAGGTGATCTACTTCCTGACTCCTCCCCCTCAGCTCCAAGAGGGTCAGTCCAAATGAGGGAGACAGAGGCCCAGAGGGGACAGTGGGTGGACACTTCATGGAGAGAACCTGAGAGAAGGTCAGCCAGGGAGCGGGGGCCAAGGAGGCCCTGGCTTCGGAGCAGGAGGCAGCTGTTGTGCTTCAGCAGGGGACAATGGGAGAGCACATGGCCTCTTACCTCCTCCTCTTCTAGCAGGACCAGGCGCACAATGGTGATATGGATGGGGTTCCCAATGCTGGGGTCATGAAACAGGCCGGCCACCTGCCCAAGAGACGGGTCAGTCTGTCACTTGGGATATAGCATACAAGCAGCCAATGCTCACTCACAACCCACCTGGACAGACGTACCCCATGTGCATATGGAAGGATGTGCATGATGGACCATTCACGCACATGCACCCACATCTGAAATGTGTCCCCCCCCACCTCTGTAGAACTTGGAGGTCAAGAAGGCTTCTCAGGCTCCTTCCAGGCCTGCAGCCTGTCCTGAGCACAAGTACCAATCCCACCCCACCAAGTTCAGCCAATGGCATCACAGACTTTCTGATGCTGGCTGACCGGCCCCTGTTGGGGTCCTACTCTGTCCTCACCTGGGGAGTCCCTGTAGCCCCCTCCTGCCTTGGAGATGCCAGAGCCAGCATCCCAGGACAGAGCCCTCTGATGGGACAGGAGACTTGGGGAGAGTGTAGGGAGGAGGGATGTGGGTAAAGCCAGGCCCGGGCATCTCCCCACTGCTCTGCTACCCCATCTTCTAGGAGCTCTGGCACCTGGGCACAAAGTCATGGAGCCAAGGAGGAAGGTTTCAGAGGCCCCACGGCTACATGGGGAGCTCTCTACTGTGTCCCAGGGTACTCTCAGAGATGCAAGGTGGGCCAGGGGTAGGAAAATGGGCCTTGAAAATTGGGAAACTCTCAGCTCTTTCAAAGCTATCAATTCAGAGCAAGGAAGAGGACAGTCCACAACAATAGGGCCAGATGTCCAGTTCCAGGGCACAGAGACAGGAGAGCCTTTTAGCAATCCAAGTAGCAATGGACAAAACAAACACTGCTAAGAGGGCACCACAGCCCGACAATGAGGGTGGACTTACCAGAAGCCACAGTCAAAAAGGGCGCCCAGCAACCTGTCTCCATGCAGAGGCGGGCATCTGAGGAGTCCCTCTACCCCCTCACCCCCACATTCAACCAGTCTGCCTCCTAAATCCTGCCTGAATCTGTCTCCTCTTTCCCTCTCCACAACCACAGCCCAGTCCAAGAGCCATCCTCTTATCTGGCCAGCTGTCCAGGTCTACCGTGTCTCCCCACAGCATCTGTGGTTCCTTCAAGCCACCTGCATGCAGCCTAACCGCTCCAGCCATCGGTCTTGGATACAAACTCAATCTCACCATGCCCTTGCTTGATATAACTGAGTGGCTCTTCATTGTCCACAGGGTGAGGACATATGTCCCCACCTGGCTAACAGGACTGCGTGGTCTGGTCCTTCTCTGCCTCCCTGGTCTCACCTCAAGCCCTCCCTCTGGTCACTCTGGCTTTCTCTCAGAATCTCATGAGGTTTCCTACCACAGGGCCTTTGCAAATGTGCTTCCTCATGCCAGGAAAAGCTTCCCTCCCTGAAGCCCCAAGTTACTTTCTACTCTTTCTCTCTCTTCAGCTCTCAGCCTTCTGGATGCTCTCTGGGAGCCTTTATTCCACCCGATACTTCCATCCTCTCCAGCACCCACTTTGATGCCACCTTCACATTCATTGGAGTGAATGTCTGATTCATATCTGTCTCCTTGCCCAGCTCTGAGCTCCCTGAGGGCTGGGGATGTGTCCAGCAGGACACACAGGACACAGTAATAGAACGAACGACTGAATCCTGGGTACTGAGCTGAGTCTTCCCAATCCAGGATGAGACAAGATCCGGAAGAAAGTCAGATGAGAAGAACAAGTCCTTCCTAGGCTACAGAGAGAGAGGTGAACTTGGTATCAGCCCCCAGTGAAGTGGCATCGGAGGACAGAAAGCTCCAGCAACTGACCCTACACCATGTGTAAGGGCTAGGAGGTGGGGAACCACTTTTCTGCCAAGGGCCATTTGAATAAAATCATTTGTGGGCCACACAGAATTATCAATCTAAAAATTAGCCTGCTATAATATGATGGCTGGAACTGCGGTTGCCTTGGCAGGACCAGACCATTTCTGATTTTGTGGGCTTTATATGGGGAGCCCTGGTGTGGCGCTGTGGGTTAATACACCAGACTGCAAAGCCATTTGAATTGCAAGGTCAGCGGTTCAAGCTCACCAAAGGCTCCTTGGAAACCCTATACAGGGTTGCTATGGGTCGGAACCCACTCGACGGCACTTAACAACAACAACATATGGTCTGGGGGCCAGACATTCCCCACCCCTGGTAGGGTAGCTTAGTGCCCTCTGCATATGCAAGAAGGCTTAAAAAACTTAGTGAAAAAATTCCATTCTTTTCTCATTCCATTTTTCCATGAACTTTTTAAAGCCCCCTCATCTAACACTTCTCACTGTTGCCCAAGAAATATGGAAGCAGATAAGTGTTGGGAGATACTGGGGTGGGGGTCAACTTAACCAAGGAGAGTTTCTTAAAGGATATCTGGGGAGACAGAGCTCTGCTTTGGTACAGGTATGGAGAGCACACCAGGTAAGATCTGGGGTGACCACAAGGAGGGAATGCCATGGGAGAGCCCACAGGGCTGGGTGGCCTTACGCTGCCCAGTTCCTGGCCTACAGGGAACATTGAAAAAGGGGAGATTAAATAAACCCAGTGTTATGAATTGAATTGCAACCCCCCAAAATACGTGTCAACTTAACTGGGCCATGATTCTCAGTGGTTTGTCAATGATACAATAATCACCCTGATGTATCTGCTGTGATAAACCATTAACAGGGTCAAGGGTGGGATACAACACCTTGAGTCCGCTCACAGCCCTAATCCCATGGAAGGAGAGGTTCCCTGGAACACCTTTTATTTTATGAGATAAAAGGAAACTGATGATAGCAGAAAGCAGGGACCAACTACCACCAGAGACTAGAGCAGAGCAAGTCTGTTGGACCTGGGGTCTCTGACCTGAGAACCTCGTAGATCCAGGGGAAGACAGATGCCAAGACACATGGAAATCTCCAGGGAATGCAGGGTGCACACATGCTGAAAAGAGACCTTACTCCTAAACTGTGAGCCAAGAGAAAGTCCTCCCCGGAGATGAAGCTGTAACTTCAGACTTCTAACCTTCTAAACTTTGAAAGAATACATCGTGTGAAAGGCCTGCATGGTGGTGTTTGTGTTTATTGCAGCACAAGAGAACTGAGACACCCAGTTAACCAGTGGTGACTTCAGACTACTTCTAGACCTCTTACAGGCTAGGCCCTCAGAAAAGTGGGAAGAATTAGGACGAGACCTCAGGGCCTGGGATCTGGCCTTTTTCCCTGCCCCTAGCTCAGAGGCCACACCCTGCTGTCCAGCAACAGTCTCTCCACAATCCTGGCTGTTAGCAGTTCCCCTCCTCAGCCTGACAAGACTGAACAGAAAGGCTTGAGTTGGGTCTTTGAATCCTTGGGTACCCGGTTCAGGGTCATGGCTTTTATTTGATAAGGAATGGGGAGCCAGTGATAGTGGCTGAGTCAAGGAAGGATTCATCCTGAGCTGAGCTTGCAGATGAGGACTCACGCAGTGGGGAGAACAGCCATGAACAGAACCCTTTTGTGTGTCAGAGCCTCAAGCTGCCTAGCTGTAGAATAGGTGGCGGTGTACTGATGATGTCAGAAGGCATTTTCTATAGAGTTGGATGAATTGAGGGGCTGACATGGGAGAAGCAGTATCATATGACACAAGCCTCAGAGCTCCCCCTAAACATCACCCAGTTTTGGATCACCCTTGACCCCAACCACCCCACCCAGGGTAGAACTAGGCTTGTGCTCAGGCCAGGGCAGACATCTTTTCTCCCAGAGGGCTGCAGGAAGCAGCTTGGGGCTGAGGCTTCCTTTACACTCTGGCTGAGTGGTGGCGGGGAAAAGCTGACACACTGCCACCTCTGGTAATCACCAGCTCGTCATCTGAGTTCCGAGTGGGGTTCCCGTCCGGCTCTGCCCCTCCCTGTCTCCATGTGTGACTCAATTGAGTCAACTGTCACACATGGAGACAGTCATCCTCAGCTCACAGATGGGTACACCGGGGTAAAGTGACTTGCCCACAATCGCTAACTAGTAACTCTAATGTCCCAGGCAGGAGCTATTTTGACTGCGCTTCTTTGTCCCCAGGGCCCAGCAGAGGGAGTTTGTTCGAACCCAGTGGAGGGAGTTTGTGAGCGAACCAACCAGTCTGTGAGCTCTCCCAGGCTGGCACAGTCGTGGCTATCTCCATCTGCCTCCATCTGCTTCCACCCAGCTCTGCTTAGCAGTGGGTAGACTGTTTATCAAAGGTCAGCTGAGACAATGAAGTGGTATGAAACCCAATGGTGTTCCCACAGTAGCCCTGGAGGTCCCAGTCTGAGGGGCTTGCTGCCCTACTCCTATGGAATCTGGGTCTGGACCCCAGTCTGTCAGCCTTCCTACCCTAAACTCACCCTTTGCATCCCTGACCTCCCCTCCCAGGATGTGCGGTCCTTCCCGTCCCGGCCACCTGCAGCCGCCTCACCATATTCATGATGGTCAGCACGTAGTTCTCCACCTGTGGCTGCCCGTGGTACTCCACCATCTTGGTGTCGGCTACCACCAGGGTTTCCACCCACTTCTCGCGGCTGACTGAGCGTTGGCTCAGGCGTCTGGGCCGCTGCCTCTGCCGCTGCTGCCGCTGATCCCAGCGCTCCCGCCGAGACTCCAGCTCCGAGAACGACTCTGGGGGCCCAGATGGGGAAACGGTGAGTCAACAGCAGGACTGACCCAGGACTCGTGTCTCAAGGGCCTCCCTTGGTGAACTGTCTCTGGGACATGGGGGAGAGTTGGGACCAGACTGGCCTCCACTCTGGCGGCTCTGCAGCGGGGGTGCTAGTTTCCCAGGCAGCCTCACAGACCCAATGTCGTCAAGTTCATTCTGACTCACAGGACAGAGGAGGACTGCGTCTTAGGGTTTTTGAATCTTTATGGGAGCAACCTCATCTTTCTCCCAAAGAGCAGCCAAGTGGTGGGCTTGAACCTCCAACCTTGCAGTTAGCAGCCCAGGGTTCAATCCAGAGCCACCAGGACTCCTTCCATAGATGCACAGAGGCCCATATACTGAGGTGGGAGCTGGCTGGCAAGCGAAGGAGGTTCCTGGCTAGTTGCTCTACTGGATGCTTGAGGAAGCACAACTGATAGAGCTGGGGATGCAGGAGGGTGGCAGGGGACAGACCGAGCCCAGAAATGGGGAGGTAGGAGCGAGGACGAGGATGCGGCACAAGGGTCAGTTTGTTGCATGGCTCTCTGGGGCACAAGGGGAACCATGCATGGGGATATTAGGAGAAGCTTCTAAAAGGGGTCCATTATGCCTCCTGAGGAGTCCTGGTGTGGCACTGTGGGCTAATGAGCCAGACAACAAAGTCATCTGAACTGCAAGGTCAGCGGTTCAAGCTCACCAGCTGCTTCTCAGAAACCCTATACAGGGACACTATGGGTCGGGATCGACTTTACAGCACTTAACAACAACAACAACATCCCCCCTGAGGAGTCCTGGTATAGTGTTGTGGGTTAATGCACTGGACTGCAAAGTCGCTTTGAACTGCAAAGTTGGTAGTTCAAGCTCACCAACTGCTCCTTGGAAACCCTATACAGGGTCACCACGGGTCAGGATCGACTCAACGGCACTTAACAACAGCAACAAACAATCTACCACCCCCCACCCCCACCCCCGAGCCCATTCCCTACCCCAGAGCTGGCAGCAGAGGGGCATACCTTGCACACCACAGGTGCCAAGAACGCTAGAGACACCCTGCTCTGCCTGCCTCTCAGATGCCTGACGCTTATATACCACATGGGGCTGGGCCTGGCCAGGCCGGACTGGGGCACCATCCAGAGGTTCAATGAAGTAGTCTTCGTTGGAGAGCTGGAACACACCTTTCTGGGGAAGAAACACCAGCTTTACACAGGGAGGCTACCACTCCCAGAAGCATCTCCTGCCACTGTGACCCCTAACACACCTGGACCTTGCCCACCCCGTGCCCTCCTCCCCTGCTCTCTTTACACAGCCAAAGGGTTCAGAGTTTTAGTCAGAGGTCACAGCCCCAGGAAGCGAGAAGTGGTTCTGTGTCCAAATCTAAAAAAACAATGGTGTCCCCCCCCCAACATGATCCCAGACAACCTTCCCTCTGGAGCTGTCAGCCCGGGCCTCCAGGCAAGTTTGCATCTCCTTCTTGTGCCAGACAGCTCCAGCCTCTGTGCCCTTCCAGCTGGCCTGAGCTTCTGCCCTGCCCTCGGTTTCCCTGAGGCGATGAATCACTCCCAAAGCAGCTCCACCCACACTCGAGCCATGGAGATGCTCACAGCTACTGGGACATCCTGTTCTCCGGACCAAGGGCCTGCCAGAGAAGGGAAGCTGCCAGGCGGTCACGGGCATGCCCACCCCGGCACCCAGAGAGTCCCCTTCCCTAGGGGCCTGGAATGACTCCCTTTCAGGATCAGGAGATACAGGTTTCAATGCAGACTCCACCACATGGAATAACGGAGTGACCTCAGGCAAGTTCCTCTCTGAGCAAGATTAACTATGTAAAGGAGCCGGTGCGGGCTCCACAAGTGAGAATATGTCTTAGTGTTATCACAGCAGCTGTGGGGGAAACTCCTTAAAAGCATGGGTTTGGAAGCCAGATTACCTCTTCCCAAGGTGTCTGTGGGGGAGAGACAGTAAAACAAAAACACACACCTATGCAAACCATGGTATCCTGGAGTAGGATCTCATGTTTGGTAAGGTGGAGGGTCAGAGAAAAAGAGGAGGACCCCAGCAAGATAGATTGACAAAGTGGCAGCATCAATGAGCTCAAGCGTGGCAACAATTGTGAGGTTGGCCCAGGACTGGGCAGTGTTTCATTCTTTGTACATAAGGTCACTATGAGTCGCTATGAGTCGGTACCGACTCGATGGCACAACAACAACAAATGCAAAAATAAAACCAAGGCTTAGCGAAATGTATGCAGTAAGGAGACTTAAACAGGGAAATGAGACAATGTTAGACCGCTACTTTTGATTGGATAGTCAGGGAAATCTTTCTGAAGAGGTGACATTTAAAGTAAAGACTGAAGGTCGAGATGCCGCCGAAGATCTGGGGAAAGAGCATTCCAGGCAGAGAGCTTGCACAGAGGCACTAAAGGTAAGAATGAGGTCGGTATGTTTGGGGTGTGGGAAAAGTTAACACATATTAAACACCTATGGTGCCACAGGATAAGCACTCAACCTCAAGGTTGGTTTGAACTGCAAGGTCAGCAGTTCAAACTCACCAGCCAATCCTTGGACACCTTATGCAGAGTCACTATGAGTTGGAACCGACTCGACAGCACTTAACAACAACATGTAAAAGGCAAAGCAAAGTATTACAATGAAATGTGTAATAATAGCTGGAGTCAGAAAACCAAATTGGAAGAGCACACTCAGCATTTCTCAAGCTGAAAGAATGGAAGAAAAAATTCAAGCCTCGATTTGCAATACTGGAGGACTCTATGGGCAAAATATTGAATGATGCAGGAAACATCAAAAGAAGATGGAAGGAATGATACAGAAGGCATCAAAGGGCAGTGGAAGGAATACACAGAGTTACTGTACCTAAAAGAATTGGTTGTGTTCAACCATTTCAAGAGGTAGCATCCGATCAAGAACTGTGATACTGAAGGAAGAATGAAGGCATTGAAAACAAGGGTCCAGGAAGTGATGGAACACAAACTGATATTTCAACAAATGGATGCACGCTGGAAGCACTCACTCATCTGTGCTAAGAAATTTGGAACATCTAACCAACTGATTGGAAGAGATCTGTATTTGTGTCCATTCCAAAGATCCCACAGAATGTGGAAACCATTAAGCAACATCCTTAATTATACACACAAGTGAAATTTTGCTAAAGATTATTAAAAAACAGTTGCATGCCATCATTAGGATGAAACTGTGTATGATTTGTTGAATGTAAAACCGATGATCTGCCCAGTAAATCTTCATTTATTTCAGAGTAAAAAGTTCCAAAAATAAAATTAAAAATTGCAGGAGCACATTGAAGACAGGAAGCTGCCAGAAATTCAAGCCAGATTCAGAAGAAGACATGGACTGAGAGCCATCATTGATGACACCGGATGGATCTTGACTGACAGCAGAGCATATCAGAAAGATGTTTACTTGTGCTTTTATTATGCAAAAGGACTTGACTGTGTAGATCACAACAAACTATGGACAACATTGCAAAGAATGGGAATTCCAGAATACTTAACTGTGTTCATTAGGAACCTGTACATAGACCAAAAGGCAGTTGTTCAAACAGAACAAGAGGATACAGCAAAAAAGAGCAAGACCCCCAAAAGAGATGGACAGACACAGCAGCAGCAAGAATGGGTTCAAACATAACATGTTAAGGAACGGCCATGTGCCAGGCACTTTCTAATCAGCACTTACTACTCACAGCTAGCTATTCAATAGGTGCTATTTACAGAAGAGAAACAAGGCACTGAGCTGGGATCTAAATGCAAAGAAGGAGGAGGCCCCATTCTGCCTGAGGTGGAAGCTGCAGTAACAGGGCACTCAAGCAAAGGAAGGCTTATTAGGGCTACAAGCAGTAGCCAGGGGCTGAGGCCTGCTCTCCTAGGAGCTCTGATCTGGGCAGAGAGGGCCTGACTGAGGTAGCTTATCACCCCGTGGAAGAGCTACAAGATAAAAGAGTGCCTACCCCAGAGAAAAACAGCTTAAGGGCTCTGCAGGGCAACCAAGTCATAACTAACACCCCCAAAGAAAGAGAGAGTCAGCTGTTTCCCAACTCAGCGTACAAACAAAAAACAAACCTGTTGCCATGGAATCATTCCTAACTCTTGGCCACTCCTTGTGTTACAGTGTAGAACTACTCCTTGGGGATTTCTCTAGGAAGGTAAAGAGGAGTTCATCTTTACAGAAGCAGGTTGCCAGGTGTTTCTTCCGCAGCACCACCAGGTGGGTTTGAATCACCTACCTTTAGGTTAGTAGTCCAAGGCAAACCATGTGTGTCACCCAGGGATCTGGTTAGTCTACAGTGATTCTCAAAACAGGGTCTCTGGAGCTGCTGTAAGAGCATTATCTGGGAAACTGCCAGAAATGCAAGATTTCAGAGGCTCCATCCCAGATCTATCTCCTCTCAAAAAGTGTTCTAATTAGTTCTAAGTAGGGGATTCTGACTCCTGTGAAAAGTTCAGAACTGCTGCTCTAGACAAGGCCTGCATTTGTTAGTCTCATTTTACAGGAGTAACTACTGAAGTCCAGGGAGGAAAAAGCTCATTGGCTGGACATGGTTGGAGGCACAGCCCTGTGTCCCACTGCCTCCACTTCCAACCCAGAGCACTCACCAGTCCGTGGCAGGCACTGATGGCTGCCAGGCCACCCTCAAGCTCGGGGTCCTGCACCTCACCGAGCAGGTGACAGGCAGGGGTGCGGGTCTGGATGTACGCTCCACCCAGGCCGCCGTGCCGTCGTGTCTCGCTCACAAAACCAGGCGCCAGTAGGTGCTGGTTGGTGGTCAGGTTGAAGCGCAGCTCTCGCCCACGATACAGCAGCTCATAGAAGGCTGGCGCACTGCGCCGTGCAGATACGTCCCGCTTGCGAAGTGAGCGTGGCCACAGCTCATAGGACAGGAAGGAGCCCCCTGCGTCCACGCGCACCGGGTGCACGATGTCCACCGCCGCCCGGCTCTCAGCAGCATGACCTGCGAAAACACGTGCGGGCACCGTGGTCTGCGCCTGATGTGGGGCGCTGGTTGATGGTCTTGAACCTGAGGGTGAGTGGCCACAAGGGAGCTAGCTGCTGGTCAGCAGTCCTGGGTTCATCCTCTGCTAGTCCATCTCTCTGGACTCAGTTTTTCCATCTGCTTAACTGCAATAACCACTTAAATAGGTCATCTGGCCTCTTACTGCCCACCTTGATCCTGTCCCTTTGCGTTGTTAGGTGCTGAGGATTCATTTAGAGCCATGGCAACCTCGTATATGCTGAATCAATCTGCTTCATAAGGTTTTTCAGAAAGCACGGTGGCTCCGAGAATGAGCACTGACTGGACTGACTGTGAACCACGAGGCTGGCGCTTTGAGCCCTCCAGACACTCCACGGGAGAAAAATGAGGCTTTCTGCTCCAGCCTCGGAAACCCTATACGAGGTTGCTATGACTCAGAACCAACTCGATGGCACTTAACAACAAGAGGCTTTTCAACAGGTTTCTCTTCCAAGGCGTCACTGGGTGGATTCAGACCACCAACCTTTCAGCTAGGAGACGAGCACTTAACAGTTTGTACCTCTCTCTTAATTATAACAGAAATGCCACAAATGGATGGTACCGACAAAGAGAAATATATTCTCACACAGTTTTGTTGTTAAGTACTGTGGAGTCGATTCCGACTCACAGTGACCCTGCACAGGGTTTCCGAGGCTGTAAATCTTTACAGGCGCAGAATGTCTCATCTTTCTCCAGCGGAACAGTTTCGAACTGCTGACCTTGAGGTTAGCAGCCAGATTCGTAACCACTATGCTACCAGAGCTACCTTAATTTCCAGGGACTGGTCCCTCCTGATGACATGGCTAACATATGTGAGACAAAGTCCCAGCATGCCTGAATCTAAGAAGCATTCTGGCTATACATCCTCCAAGACAGAATTGTCCATTTTTCTGGCAGTCCCTGGTAATCTCCCACCACTTCTCTGCCAGTTTGTCGTACTGCGGTAGCTTGTGTTTTGCTGTGATGCTGGAAGCTATGCCATTGATATTTTGCCAGCTGGGTCACCCATGGGGGACAGGTTTCAGTAGAGCTTCCAGACGAGACAAACTAGGAAGAAGGAGAAGTGGACCACTTCTGAAAGGTCAAACCACTGAAAACCTACTGAATAGCAGGGAAATACTGTCTCATGTAGTACTGGAAGATGAAGCCCTCAAGTGGGAAGACACTCAGAATACAACTAGGGAAGATCTGCCGCTTCAAAGTAGAGTTGACCTTAATGATGTGAAAGGAGTAAGCTTTCAAGACCTTCATCTGCTGATAGGACACAACTCAAAATGAGAAGAAATAGCTTCAAACACCCAGTAATAATCAGAATGTGAAATGTACAAAGTATGAATCTAGGAAAATGATAAGTCCTCAAAAACTGAACAGAACACATGAAGATCAATACCCTAGGCATTAGTGAGCTGAGATGGACTAGTGTTGGCCATTCTGAACTGGACTGTCATATGGTTAGTACACCACGAATGACAATTTGAAGAAGAACTCATCATCAAAATGAACACTTCAAGATCTATCTTGCTGAACTTGACCTATAATTATGGATGTAGTAGCTCAAAATACCAACAGAGAAAGAGAAGGAGTCTTCACATCAAGTATCAATCCTATCCCCTCTGTATACAGGGTAGATAGGGGCGGGTAACTTAGACATTGGTTACCTAAAATGAGGGGGCAATAAAGGCACAAAGTGACTAGCTTACGAGTTTTCAAGAGGAAGTTAAATTTAAGAGTGTGCGGGGTAAGATAAGAGTCCCCATTGAATAGTTTTCATCTTGTCTAGATGGGTCTGGTGAAAGGAGATGGGGATAAGATTCTTATGATTCAATAGTGAGTAATTGTTATCATGACTAACTGCGACTGTCACAACTGTAAAGGTAGGAGTTTTGTAACAAAAAGGGGGAAGTAGTTAATCTTACATTCCAGGAACAGAGGACCCTAGGACCATCAA